ATTGGGGAATTGAGAGGATTCACCTTGAGGTAGTCCTGGAGGTGCTGCCTTATTCCTGTCATTGCATTATTTTCCTTTGCTGACTCCCCTTCTTTCCCTTCTACCTAACTGCTCACCCTGCCTGGTATATTCATTATTTTTTTGAGCTTGTTGGTTTGTCATATATTTGAGAATTTTTCTTAGTGTTGCTTTGATGGTCACAAATTTCTTTAGTTGCTCTTTGTCGTGGAAATACCTTATTTTCCACAAAGATACTTTTGCAGGATATATCAGTCTGGGGTACAAGTTATTTTCTTTTTGGACTTGAAACACAGCAACACAAATATTTGTAGAGTAAATGACTGCCTGAGATGGCTATTCCAAGGGACTCAGGAATGTCATATAAACAAATAAGCAGCACCACAATATAGTAGTGAGCTGAATCTGGAAACTGAATCACAGGCTTTAAATAGTTATGAATATAATTTACCTATGAACATCCTCTGGGGATGACATGAAGGTTTTCGTTACTCATTTTGGGAAGAAATCTTTTTTCTTGTTCTGAGAATGTCTGTTAATTTTGTTCTATTTTATGCGTGTGTGTCAAACTAGGGGTCAGAACTTAGCAATAAAGCAATTGTCTAGTATGAGTGAGGCTCAAGTGTTCAGTGCCTAATACTATAGGGGAAAAATATGTTTAAGTAAATTAAGTTAACTGTAATGTTTAAGACTAAATTCATAGAGACACAAATTGTTGCTAAGATAGGTTATTTTGGTCAAGTTGTTTAGCCTTTTGAAACTTTAGTTTCCTAGTAATGTCCACCACATAAGATAGTTACAAGGATTACAAGAGATCATGCATATAAAATGTTATATACACTTTCTGACACTCAGTAAGGTTATTTTTTATTTTTATTTTTATTTTTTTTGCGGAACCGGGGATTGAACTCAGACCCTTGCGCTTGCCAGGGAAGCGCTTATTCCACTGAGCCATCTCCCTGGCCCCTCAGTAAGGTTATTTACTATCATTAAAAGCTGAGCCACACATGGTGACACATACCTATCATGTTGGCTACTTGAAAGGCTGAGGTGAGAGAATCACTTCGGTCCATGAGTTTAAGACCACCTTGAGACCCAGCCTCAAAAAGCAAAATACAAAACAAAAATATTTATTCAATTGTCTGAGATTTAAATTTCTATTGAAAATATGACTTCCCAACTCAACCTGAATTTAGCTCCATACATTATGGAGAGTGATAGGAGTGTTGATTTCATGAAAAGTACATATGATAAAAACATGACAAATTTAGCAAAACAAATTCAGTTTCTTCCACTACATAGTTACTACACGGATCACTTCTGTGAGTCCAAGAGGTATGGGCATTTTTTTACCACCAGAAAGCAGACAATCAATTGTGCAGCAGCATACACCAGCTGGGTGTGCTGATTCCATTCTGCTGTCTGGAGCTGCTCCGGCTCTCAAGAGGTTGAGGACTCAATTCCCACGATACCTCCCTCTGTTAGGTACCAGTCATAAACCCTGAGTAGGATTCTGACTGACTACAAATTGGGGTTCCCGTATCCCCTCTTAGGTTTTGATAAATCTGTTTGAGTGGCTCACAGAATTCAGGGACACACTTAACAATTACAGGTTTATTATAAAAGATATTACAAAGGACACAGAGATATATAGAATAAGACATAAGAGGGCCATCACTGCCTTTCAGGAACTTCCACTATCTAGAAACTCTGTAAGCTTGTTTTTTGTTTTTTTGTTTTTTGTAGTACTAGGAATTGAAACAAGGCCTTCACACTGAGCTACATTCCAACCTTTCTTATTTATTGAGACAGGGTCTCACTACGTAGTTCACACTGGCCTTGAACTCACTATGTAGCCTAGGCTGGCCTTGAACTCAAGAGTGATCTTTTTGCCTCAGTCTCCTGAGTGCTAGAATTACAGGCATACGCCACCATATAGGCTGCAGCCTTTTTTTTTTTTTGTGGCGGGGGGGAGTTTTTTCTTTTCTTTTTAAGAAAGCTCTTAGGGCCGGGGAGATGACTCAGTAGAATAAGTGCTTCCCTGGCAAGCGCAGGGCCTGAGTTCAATCCCCAGTTCCGCCAAAAAAAAAAAAAAAAGCTCTTGCTAAGTTACTAAGTTGTCAGTTTGGTTTTAAATTTGTGATCCTTCAACCTCAGACTCCTAGAGTGGTAAAATGGCATGCATACATCACAACCCCTGACTTATTTGGGGAGATTTTATAGATAATTCATTGAACAGTCATGCATGAAGCATGGGTAAGTACCTCAAAATGTGATTGTACAAAAAGGGCATGATCTATTGCTAGTAGGCTGGGCAGGGAAAGTACAGTTCTGGCCAGCTTCTTTATCGTTTCTGCACACTGAGGACCAGAACCCCTTCTGGAATGGGGCCTTGCCTTCGGTGAGACATGGCAGATGAGAGAGATTTATTGTCAGCAGTTCCCAGGCAGAAACGGAAAAGAAAAAAAAAACAAAAAGAAATGGAAGAATAGAGTTGCTGTGGCCCGTCTTGAGAAGAAAAAAGTTTTAAGATCTCTGAATAAGACTGTATAGGTAAGAATACCTAACTTTTCTTGACTTTTTTCCTTGTTTTTAGGAAAGATATGTGGCAAGCTTGATGCCTTTGCAGAAAACTATTTCTCCATGGAAGGTATAAATGTTCCAACGACTTGCTATTTGAATTCTGTACCTGCAGTTGTCTTTGTACTGTACATGTGTAGTTTGTAAGCACAGTCCATATTTTCCTTTAGAGTCCACCCCAGTTAAGACAGTTCCTTCCAGAAGAATTTATGAAAACACTTGAAAAAACTGGACCTCAGCTCACCTCCAGAATAAAAGGCGATTGGATTGGACTTTACCGGTTAGTCCTTTCCCCTTCCTTCCCACTCAGCTGTAGATCTTTATTTTAAAAGAATAGTAGCCTTGAAAATTCGATATTCTTCTTCAAAAGTTCTGTTGTTCATAATGGTTTTCAGAGTTGGTAAGAGAGTGGAGGAAATAAATTATAGTCAAACTTCACTTTTTAAAATTTATTTTATAGGCATTTTCTGAAGTCTCCAAATTTTGACGGTTGGTTCAAAACCCGGCGGAAGGAAATGACCCAGAAACTGGAGGCACTACATCTAGAAGCTCTTTGTGAAGAGGTTAGAAAGCAGTGTGTCTGTGTCATGACCAACAGCTACTGAAAGCAAATGTATTGTTTAGAGATTGAAGATAGTCCCTGTATCTACTTTATACTTAGTAAGAACAGCTAATTTGTCTAGGTCATGTGTCAACCAGGGGGTGTATAGGTGCTTTACACCCTTTTAACCTTCACAGTGCATTGAGGCAGGCATTTATGATCTGCATTATGCAGCGGCTGTGGCTTGGAAGGGGAGTGACCTGTCTTGGTTCACGTCACTGCTAAGCAGTAAGCCCAAGTGTCCTGGACGCACTTGCCTTGGTGCTGGGGAGCTCATTGTGCCGTCTTCCCGGTTCTGCCTTCAGTTACCTCAGGTTGCGCTGGTAGCTTGCAGTCACCTACAGTGGGCGTATTGCACTAGAAGCTGGCCACATTCTGAGCTAGAGATTTTTTTTTTCTGAGGAATGGTTGTTAAATATGTTTTGAGTGATTTTTCATATTCTGTAATTTGTAACCAGTCTATTTTAAATTGCATGTGAAAATATAAAGAATAGTTATCTTATTTTTATTTAGCTTTAATATTGAGTAAGGTGAATTAGCCTCAATATTGTTTCTGATAGTAAAGTTCCAGTTTTTGAGGCTTTCAGATAAAGAATACAGCTAAGGCAACCACAAAGTAAGTCCAAGAAGAGCTTATTTGGAGATTCAGAGTTTACATTCTATAATGCATTCATGTTTAGTCATCTTGATTGTTAGGAAACAGTCCTGATAAATGAGTCATTGCTGTGTTGGTAGAGGTTAATGACTGCATTGAGTTATACTTTTTTCTCTTTACCTAAAAGGGCCACCTCAGAAACAACTTTTCTTACGTTGTACTTACTTCCAAGTATTAAACAGTTATTCTAGGGGCCAGCCAACTAGCTCAGCAGATTAAAGTGCCCGCTTAGGCAGACCTAGCGGCCCGGGTTTGATTCCTGACATGCTGTGCCAGCCCCGGCCCCAGCCCTGGGGTGTGCTGAGATGGCAGTTGAAACTGGGCATGGTGGCACCCATCTGTAATCCCAGCTCTTGGGAGGCTGAACATAGGCAGATTACCATGAGTCTGATCTACATAGTGACACCCTGTAGACCCTGTACTAAAAAAAATACCAAAAATAAATAAATAAACAGTTATTCTGGCTAATTTTGAATGCTAGCTAATTGAGTTTCTAAACTATCACGAAAATTTTTCTTATACTGTAATTCTATATCTGAGTTAACTACCTTGTTCTCCTTCCCCTTTTTACCCTCCTTTCTTGTTACCCTTGCTTATTGAAGCAGAGGTATAAATATCATTTTGAGTAACTATCAATTTGGATCTTGTCGGTTACCTAGGACCTACTTCTCTGGATCCAGAAACACACAGAAGTAGAAACAGTAGACCTTGTACTGAAGCTAAAAAATAAACTGGTATGTAGCCAAATCAGTGAAGATAAAATTGACCTTTTTGTGAAGGTATTTTCTTCCCACTTGAACTGAAAATCTGTGATACCTTAAAAGTAACTTATTGGGGCGGGAGAGATAGCTCAATAGAATAAGTGCTTGCCTGGCGAGTACAAGGGCCTGAGTTCAATCCTGTTCCACCAAAAAAAAAGTAACTTTTTAAATCAGCGGTCACTCAGGCAGATCATAATGATTCAATATTTTGCACATAGAGATTTATGTGGAATATGCTGGATTATACAAAAATATCACTTATATTTCATGTTGTATATTATCTACACATTTATGTAGAATGCTTTTATTGATTTCAGCAACGTATTTAAACCGCATGTTCCTAAATGTTTTAGTGTCTATTTTAGTCTAATTGTTAAATTATTGAAATTGCTTATATATAGAATATAATATATTAACATGAGCTTCTTTAATTTCTGTCAAATGTTCCTTCTATAGTTGCAGGCTGATCGAGAGCATTTACCTGTGAAGCCTGACACTATGGAAAAGTTACGGACACATATAGATGCAATTATTTTAGCATTGCCAGAGGATCTTCAAAGTATACTGCTCAAAACAGGCATGACATGATATTTGCCAGGATTTTCCAGCCAAGAAGTATTGTGCACCATGAAGCACACTGACCTTTCCACGGACATCCACAGGAGATCTCTCCATGGCAGCAGAGTGGAAAATAGCAATGAATTCTAAATACAGGGTGGGAAGACTGCATTGTATAAATAGACCTTTTTAGCACATTATTTTTAAAAATGAGTATTTGTGGTGGTTCCACTTTAATACTGAAACACCGAAAGGTATTTCTATATTTTTAATCATGTTCTCTAAAGTGCTCTTATGAGAGACCTCTGGGGCCATCAGCGTAAGTGATTCCACACTGTAGTGCTGGCACTGCAGGTATTTTTTTAAACTGGTGCTGCTTTGCCTGATTATAATAAAACTCAGGGGGATATAAAAATTAGTGTTCACACTGGCCATTGTCTTAAGAAGGAAAAGACTGAACTGTCCAACTCTAGTGAGCAGGAATTGATGCTTATGTAGTGCCTTCTGTTGTCCTACATGTTTCAAGAGTCAGCTGCTAGTCTTGAGGCTTTTTTTTTTAGCTTGATTATGATATGTAATTTTATAAAGCATTCTATTGAATAATCACTGCTAAAAAGTATCTTGCTTCTCATGCTTGTTAGTAGACATGGTATTTTCTTTTTTCATGTCATGCAGATTTTTTTTTCTTCAGACAGGATCTATATCCATATTTGCATTTCACTGTTTGTTTGTTTGTTTGTTTTTTACCATTTTCAACATTTTAGTGTCTCCAAAGTCAAGAAAGCATCTTGTGTTAATTATGTAAATGTTTATATTCTCTTAGCAGGGTGTGGTGGCGCATGCCTGTAAACCCAACACTTGGGAGGATGACAGAAGGATCTCTAAGTTTGAGACCAGCTTGGGCCATCCCAAACTGCATAGCAAAACCCTGTCTCAAAAAGACAAAGTTTATATTCTTTTATCTTTTATTGCTTGGCCCTGTGTAAGCTAATTAAAATGCAGACATTTTAATTACAACCTTTGTAATCAGCTATTTTTAAATGGAGCTGTTATTTCAGAGATATCTGTAAGCCATATATGTGATAGTTATTTGAGTGATTATGGAATAGATTTCCCACATTATTTGTTGGTAGTATTTCCCCAAAATTCATGTCTCTCAGAACACTTGTTTATTTGTTTGGGCTTATTGAGACTAGTTCTCTGGGGCCGGGGAGATGGCTCAGTGGAATAAGCGCTTCCCTGGCAAGCGCAACGGCATGAGTTCAATCCCTGGTTCTGCAAAAAAAAAAAAAAAAAAAAAAAAAAAAAAAGAGAGAGACTAGTTCTCACTATGTAGTTCTATGTAGTGGAGTACAAGCCTAGTGGAGTACTATGGAGCCCTGGCTAGCCTTTAATTTATGGTCATCCTTCTGCCTCAGCCTCCTGAGTACTGGGATGTCACACCCAGTATTGTGCTGTCACACCTATTTTCTCAGAATTCTCGTTGTTTGACTTGGGAACTTCTGCCTAAATCATTTGTGCTTTTTTTTAGTAAGTTATCTTTTGTTTATACTATTTGCCAAAAATAGAAGAATGTGATTTGGTGTAGTAAGATTGTTTATGTTTGCATGGGAATGTCCTGCAGAAGCCAGTATTTAAAATAGGCACACACAATGTAGCACACATGTAGATCATAGAGTCTTAATTATGTTTTACACAACCAAATTTAGTCGTGTGTTTGTAAAAGAAATGGCTCCAGCAGCTATCTCCAGCTCTCTGTGGCTGTTAACTCATAGGGCACTCCTGACCAAGGAAGGCTCCTTGTGCTCGTAACTGTGGTCTAATATCCCAATGTGCCCTTTTCTTATGGATTCAGTCTCTTGAAGGATACTTCAAGTCACAGAGAGAAGGTGGCATTTGGAAGAAATCGTTTGCCTTGGATCATATGGGTTATTTTGTGAAACAACAGTGGTCCCTTCAGAAAAGGGGTGACTACTTTTATATGCTGAAGTATTTCATAACTTTCTAGGAAACTTTATTTAGGTATAAATGGTCATCTCATTATTTTTCAAAAAATTGTATTTTAATAATCTTACAATTTATATAGTTTGTGACCAGAATTTGAAAATTGGTAGTGTCATATCAAGTATCTTTTAAAAAATGTACCACTACAGGATGTATCATTTCAAGTTTATTTTGCACAGGTAAAGAGTAACAAAAGATATCCATTAGCATGATAATGGTATCTTTGTATTTACTATATTTAAGTGAAACTTAACATATGTTAAAAACATACTCATCCAGTTTATCTTCATTTCAGTTTGTGTACTTGTAAGGATAACTTAACGTTACATTGGAAATCTGAGAAAGACTGACTGGTAACTTAATGTTTTGTGTGTGATTTTCAAAGTAGTCCTTTTTTTAAAGAAAATTTTGTTAACATCTAAACTGCCATTTACTGTTTTTATCTCCACCAGCATTAGAAGGAACACTGCTTTAAGTGTGGTATGTAATGACTGTTATCGTCTATTCACAGTGAAAAAGAGGCTTCATGGCGGCATTACCACAAATTGCATTAAAAGCCTTGGATTTTAAAACACCCAGATATTTTTGTGTTATTTCTGAGTTTGGAATACTGGGGGATGCGCATGGTTAGTGAAATGTGTGCATTATGAGATTCCTTTTATTTCCCAGCTTTTTTTTTTTTTTTTTTCTTTTGAGGTACTGGGGATTGAACCCATGTCTTTTGCACTGAGCTACATCTCTGACCCATTTTTTAATTTTTATTTTCAGATAGGGTCTTGTTGAGTCAGTAATTTGTCCAGACTAGACTTGAACTTGCGACTCTTCTGCCTTAGAGTGTCACTCAGACTGTTGGGATTAAAGGCCTGACAGACTAGGCTTAGCCCAGACAGGCTTTTTTAAAAATTCAAATGAAACCCTTTTTCTGTATAGTTCACTTAAACAGGTGAAAAGTCCAATTTAATAAACAATGAAGAGATTTTTACATACTTTCTAACAGCACATTGATTTTATGAAATTCTGATAGAAATATTTTAGCCAGGATCCATCTACACGTGACTAGTCTTCCCCTACTAAGGAGGCTGAGATGGGAGAGTTTCTTGAGCCCATGAGTTTGTCACCTGGGCAACACGAGACCCCACTGGCAAACAAACTTTAGAACATATTTATTTAGGTATCTCTATATTTTCATTTATTTGGTGCTTTTCTTTTTTTAAACTTGAAATTTTATTTTGTTCTTCCTCTCCTTTTTAAAAGTAGCAATTATAATATAGAGCTCTTGCCCCCATATTCCCCATAGAAGGAAAAAGGTTGCAAATATTTCAGTACATTTAAGAGATGCCATTAACTTTATGGCTCAGAAAACCCCAGTTTTATTTTCTCAAAATTCAGGAGATGACAAAAATCCAAGATGAATATGTCAACAGGATAGATCTCATTCTAAGGCTTTTCTCTGCATTGTAAAGGGTCATCAGAAATGCCATTAAAATCTGTCTTTTTATTTCATTTGTATATAACTTTGTTTTTACATATCTGGATTTTATTTTTTGCCTCTTCAGCCTAACTTGGGGGGAAAAATGCTAACTTTTTAATTGTAGTTCTCCAAAAACAGATAATGGGGGAGATGGCTCAGTAGAATAAGTGCTTCCCTGGCAAGCACAAGGGTCTGAGTTCAATCCCTGGTTCTGCCAAAAACAGATAATGGCTTGGTGTGGTGGTACTTGCCAGTAGTCCCTTGGAGTTCAAGGCCAGCCTGAGCTACATGGTGGGATCCTGTCTCAAACAGCAATAATTTGAATTTGAGATCAGCCTGGGCTGCAAAGTGAGTTCAAGCCAACCTGAACTGCAGAGCAACACCCTGTCTCACAAAAAAACTAAAACAAAAAACATGTAGATATTAACGCATGAGTTGTTTTTTTCAAAACTAAAACCTCAAGTGTTCAGGTTTCATTGTAGTGTTGGCACTTAGTAATAAGTGGGCTGTAGTTTGGACACTCAGTCTCTGAAAGTTTCACCATCACTGCCTAAGCCTATTAGTTTTGTTTTTGTTTTTAATGTATTTGGTGCAGGGTCTCACTATGCAGCTCAGACTCATAATGATCCTCCTGTTTTCATCCTCCCCAGAGCTGGGATTATAGGCGTGCACCACCATGCACGGACTTCAGAGCTGGCTCAGCATGCCCAAGGGCTGGGCCTGCATGGCATGTGGTGCCAGGGATGGAACCCTGGTCTCTGTGCTTGCCTAAGCAGGCACTTAGTCAGCTGAGCTCTCACTGGCCTTAGATTTTTTTTTTTAATGTAAATTCTTACTTTCAGTTTTTATTTTGCAATTTTCATTTAAAACTTCACTTTAAAATACTAGTTATAGGGCTGGTGAGATGGCTCAGTGGTCTAAAGCACCTACTTAGAACAAGCTAAACTAAGCAAAGCACAGGAACCACGGTTCAATCCCCCAGCACCACATGCCAGCCCGCCCCGCCCCCTGGTGGGCTGAACTGGCCACACACACACAATAAATGAATGAATAAATAAGTAATTAAAAAAAAACTTAAAAAAAATACTAGTTATAGGAATTTAGCTATTTTTACTGATTTTAATTTCATTTCAATCTAAGCTGGATATATACTTATGCTTTAATTCTTGCAGATTTAAAATTTGTTTTACACCCAGAGTATGGTTTGCCTTGGTAAATGTTTAGGTTATATGAGAATAGCTTTTTACCAAGATGGTGCCGAAGGCGAAGAAGGAAGCGCCTGCCCCTTCCAAAGCTGAAGCCAATGCAGAAGCTTTGAAGGCCAAGAAGGCCATGCGGAAAGGCATCCACAGCCACAAAAAGAAGAAGATGTGAACGTCACCCACGTTCCCGTCCCAAGACACTGCGGCTCCGGAGGCAGCCCAGATACCCTCAGAAGAGCGCCCCCAGGAGAAACAAGCTTGACCACTGTGCCGTCATCAAGGTCCCCTGAACACAGACAGAGTCAGCCGTGAGAAAGATCGAGGACAACAACACACTCGTGTTCACTGTGGATGTCAAAGCCAGTAAGCACCAAATCAAGCTGTGAAGAAGCTCCATGACATCGACGTTGCCAAGGTCAATACCCTAATCAGGCCTGATGGAGAGAAGGCGGCATCTGTTCGACTGCTCCTGATTATGATGCATTGGATGTTGCCAGCAAAATTGGGATCATCTAAACTGAGTCCAAATGGCTAATTCTAAATATATACTTTCCTCAGTTAAAAACAAGAGAATAATGTGTACCTTGCTTTAGGTCCGGTAGGCTGATAATACTCAAGTCCTTGCTGATTTTCTGTCTACTAGTTCTATCAGTTGAGGGGGCTACTAAATTCTTGAGTATAATTACAATTGTATGTATTCTTTACTTCAAAACCTACTATTCTAATTTATTATGGTTGTGAATTTAAAATCTGCCAAGACAAAATTGGAGTATCTAAACTAGTTGTTGTCAGCAAAGGGAAGAAGTAAAGGTGGTTTAAATGGTTACTTTTATTATTTTTTTCTTGTTTGAAACATGTTTTTTTTTTTTTTTTTTTTTTTTTTGCGGAACCAGGGATTGAACTCAGGCCCTTGCATTTGCCAGGGAAGCGCTTACTCCACTGAGCCATCTCCCCGGCCCCAGAGACATGGTCTTGGTAGGTAGTTCAGGCTGGCCTTGAACACACTAGCGTCACCATGATCCTCCTCTCCCTGAGCCTGCTGAGTACTGGGATTATAGATGTATGTCACCACACTCAGATAGATAGATAGATAGATAGATAGATAGATAGATAGATAGATAGAAACTATTTTTAGAAATTGATGTTTCCGGGCCTCAGAATAAGCACTTGCCTGGCAAGTGCAAGGTCCTGAGTTCAATCCCCAGTACTGCAAAAAAGAAAAAAAAAAAAAAAGAAATTGATGTTTCCAATTTTTTGTTAAAACTAATTCTGTAATAAACACTGAATATTTCACAGATATAGAATAGCAAAAGGAGAGAAGTTTTCTCTGCCATAAGTTCGTCTAAGTAGAATTCTATTTTGGCAGGGGCAGGGGTAGTTTTCCTGCTGAGATAGAGGCAACTACATTCCAAGTTCAACAGCCAGGTTTTCTGGAAAAGGATGAAAACTTCTTGTTACTTTTTAGATGAGTGAAATCAGTTACCTTACATTCACACAGTGGAATTAATCCCATCAAAACTTACATTTTTAACATGTACATGCTGATTCAACACCTGAAATATCAACACTATCAAAAAAAATTTATATAAGTGTGAGAAATAAGAAAAAAGATGGTCTATGTTTCATTTAACTTTAGCAGCTTTATTGGCAGGCCAGTATGGGAACCCACAGGTAATTGGGCCAAATAGCAGACATGCGGGCCACAAAAGTACTCACACCCAAAGAATCTGTAAACTCAAAGGCATTAGGAGAAGAAATAATTCCTAGGACAACAAGTTTCAGTATTATAGTTTTTTGTTGTTGTTTTGTTTTTTGGTGAAACCGGGGATTGAACTCAGGCCCTTGTGCTTGCCAGGGAAGCGCTTATTCCCCTGAGCCATCTCCCTGGCCCCTCAGTATTATAGTCTTGTAAACCTAAAGGTCATAAAGAACTAGAAAGCACAAGATGGGAGACTAACAGGTTGTCTTTGGGACAAACTGTCTCTTGACCTCACCTCATGAGAGATGCAGAGAGGTAACCCCTTGTAAATTTGGGGTAAAGGCTCCCTGCTTTCCAAATAATGGGTGCCTGTCTTAGGACAGGCACCCATCTTGCAAACTGGTTTGTGGTTAAACCTCTCACTTCCACTGCACTTTCCACCTGAGTTCACCCTTCAGGGTTTGAATGGTGATCCTTTTCTCACATAGGAATATGAGAGAATTTTTTTTCAATGAGAAAAATCTGGAACAATACATATTAAAATAATTATACTTAATTCATACACCTAATCTATAGATTTTTAAAAAATACATGATACACAAGTTCATCTTAATACAAAAAACACATCCTTAAATGTTCATAGCAGCTTGATAAGAGCCTACATCTGGGCCAGACAAGGTCCTGAGTTTGATCCCTGGTACCACCAAAAAAAAAAGCCCAAAACTAAATGAAATAGTCCACTAATGGTACGTTAACTAGTGAATAAATGCGGGTATATCCATACAGTCCGTACTTAGAATGAACAAGAAAACTGATACATGCACTAGCATAGACAAATCACAAAATAATGCTAAAAGTCAAGCACAAAAAAATTATGTACTATATATTTCTTGTTTAATTTTATGGGAAAAAATTCATAAGATGAGACATAGGTATAAAAAATTCTTCAAATATTAGCACAATGCTTCATTAATAGTATAACGCATATTTTTCCTCTCTTCCTTTCCCTCATCTAGTTCCTTTTTTTTTTTAATTATATGGTCTTTTTTTAAAATTTATTTATGTGTGTGTGTGTGTGTGTGTGTGTGTGGCCAGCTCAGCCCACCAGGGGGCAGGGCTGGCTGGCATGTGGTGCTGGGGGATTGAACCGCAGTCCCTGCGCTTTGCTTAGCTTAGCTTGTTCTAAGTAGGTGCTTTAGACCACTGAGCCATCTCACCAGCCCCTCTAGTTCCTTTTTTTTTTCATACCAGGGATTGAATTTAGGACCTTGTACTTGCCAGGCAAGCGCTTATGTGACTGAACTATCTCCTGAACCCCATTCTAGTTCCCGTATCCTTTTTAACAATTTCTAACCCTTCCACTGTTACCTATACATTTTAGACCTTATTTACTCTCAATTTCTTGCACCAGGGGGACAATAATGAATATGGTCTCGAGTCGTAAGTCTTGTTTATCCTTTTTTATGGCTCAGTAGCACTCCATTGTAGAAAAATACTTTTTTTAATCCATTCTTTCTTCAGCTGATGGGTATTTGGGTTTCCAGGATTTAGCTATTACAAATTTTGCCACTAATAAACATGAGTGCACATATATTGCTGTGGTATGATGTTTTTCTTTTTTGGTTTTTGAGACAGTCTTATGTGTAGGGCTGTCCTCGAAGTCACTGTGCAGTTCTAGCTGGTCTCAAATTGACTGATCTTCCTGTCTGTTGCCCAAATGCTGGGATTATAACCATATACCACTATGTCTAGGTTTATGTGCTTCCATTTAAACAAAGAAAATGGCCAGGGAGATAGCTCAGTGGAATAAATGCTTGCCCAACAAGTGTAAGGTCCTGAGTTCGATCCCTGATACCACCAAAAAAATAAAGCTAGGGTTTTTTCCCTTGTGTTTATGTGTGTGTTTTGAGATAGAACATCACAATGTAATTCAGACTGGCCTTGAACTTAGGTAGTCAAGGCTGTTCCTGCAAGGATCCTTTCTGCCTCAACTTTCTGAGTCCTGAAATTACAAGCATGCTGCCTCTGCACCAAGCTGAGAGAAGTTTGTGACAGATCAGTGGTTGGGCGGGGGCCAGCTGTGAAGAAAGGCTCACTGCAAAGGAGAACAAGGGAACTTTGCAGTAATGTTTGATGCAATTATGAAGATGGTTACACTACTAAATTTGTTAAAACAAAGTGTACGGTTAGTGGGTTAATGTTATTGCAGTAAATTATATTTCAGTATGCCAAACTTTTTGGAAGCACCAAAAAGCTTTCCTTTGACTACTGCACAGACCATCTTTCACTCCTTATGAAGACCCTTTTCCACCCTCACTGGTTTGACTTTTGTCTTTGACAGGGTCTCGGTATGCAGTTCAGACTGGCCTGGAGCTCCATTTTGTAGTCCAGGCTGGTCTCCACTTCCCAAGTGCTGGAACTATAGGTACGTGCCGCCACACCCAACTCATCCTTGGTAGTTTTACTAGGTAATTTCTACCTACTACTGCAAATGGAGTCTACTTAAATGTTTTATCATTCTTTCAAACGTGCAGTGGGAAACAATGCATTTTTATATTATTTACACTATCCTTGGAGAGCTTTTCATTAGAATAGCGTATACGGGGATCAAACTTGGGCGGCACTTACGGCATTGAGCTGTATCCCCAGCTCTGTATATAGTTCTATATCTTAACTCACGACTGTATTCCACAGTATGGTTATACCGTAGTTTGGCCGTCTTCTAATCACTCAACCATGTTTATTTATTCTTAGAAGTGTGCCAAACCCAGGGAATACAAAGCAATTAAAAAACGGACTAGTTCTCTAGACTTGGAGACAATTGTATGAGGGAGGTTATTAATAACAGTAAATATGAAATCATAACTATGGAGAGTTTATAATGCTTTGAGCCTGCATCACAGATCTGTTTCGCTAGCTCACGAACGTTATGTTTCAATGGAAAATACTGTAACATAAACAGTTCTAAAGGGTGCATGGGTGAGGATGGCATGACTAGGTCTGGGGTTTGAGGGTACTAAACTTCAGTAACAGTACTACGGTGGAAATAAAAGGGTAAAATTCATGGGAAACGCCTTTTAAAAAATCATTTTACGATATGCACGCTTCATTTTGTAATTGAGAAAATAAAATCAAAGTGAGGAAACTTTCCATTTGAAAGTGAGGAGTAAATCTTTCAAGCTTCTATGAGAACAGGGTTAATCCAGAAAGCGTGGTTTACTCATTGATTCCTCCCGGCATCAGCCTCTTACTGGGGACTGAACAAGTTCTCGTGCACTGGGATACACACCCACTTTTTTTTCTTCTGAGATACAGTCGAATTTAGACTCCTCCCATCTCAGCTTATCAGGCTGAGATTCCTGGTGCGCGTCACAGCGCTCTCCTGTCTTGACACTGGATCAGAAAGCTTCAGAATGACCAGTGGAGGGGGCGTAACACCGGACTCTGGTAAATTCTCCATCGCCGTCTCAGCGCGCCCCGCGGGCGGCGCCGGCACGGCAATCCAGGGATCCGTCGAGCTGCGCTCTGCCTCAGGAAGCTCTTTAGTCCGCTGAGCTATCAGGCAGGCCCTGCACATCCTTTTTATTCCCCCCCGTCTCAGAGTCTCACTGTGTAATTCAGGCTGTCCTCCATCTCCTGGCGTCCTGCTGCCTTCAGCCTCAACCTCGCGAGTGCTGGAGTACAAGTGTGCGCCACCACGCCCACCGTCGCGCTTCTTTTAACTACACTATCTGTCAAAAAGGGAAGGCCGATTCTCATTTTTCCACTTAGGGTTAGCGTTTGTTCGTGTGTGTGCAAAGGGCACACTCGTGAGATTCTAGAATTCTCATCGGGCTCAATAAGAAACAAGAAAACGCTAGCGAGCAAAAATAACCCCTCTACCTAACAGAGTAATTTTCCTACGCATGCGCAAAAGCACAAAGCCTACACCTGAGCGGAAGTGCCTCTTCTTGACGCTGATTGGACGCAGCGGAGCGATGCATCCTGGGCCTTCCTCTCCAGTGCGCAAGTGCACAGCGGTCTAGTCGGCGCCCCGGGCCACGTCCGGGAGGTGGAGACAGCGGGGAAGGAGCGAAGCCGTCTCCTCCTCGATATGCGCAGTCTCAGTAGCGCCGACAGCACCGGAAGCGCAGGGGGATGGGGCGGTGGTGACGCGATTCTGTCCGCGTTGGAGGGGGTCGGGCTGCCTGCCACTCGAGTCGCCTTGTCTGCTGCGTGACGTGGCACACCCAGATCCTTAAAGTCGGAGCCGGGTGCTGCCGCGCCAGGCGCCCGCTCCCAAATAGTTCTTCGCCCGGCTGCTGCCAGCCTGCGCTTCTCCGGACGCCGTCGGCCTGCCGTCGCCCCGACCGCCCTCCCTCCCCGGCGGTTCTCTTCTCCTCTTTATCCGGAGCGTAGAAGGCGAAAGGCCCGGCTCGGCACGGAGCCCTTTCCGTGCCCATCGCAAGTGCCACCGCCGCCATGGGCCTCACCATCTCCTCGCTCTTCTCCCGCCTGTTCGGCAAGAAGCAGATGCGTATCCTGATGGGTGAGTGAGGGGCCGAGGGGAGGCCGGGCCCGGCGGGGCGGGGTGGCGAGTCGGCGCTCGGGACGGCCCGGGCCGCGGGGCGGGCTGCCTACCGGGCGGGGGTC